CCAGTTTCCCCTTCTGTTTCTGTACTCACATCTTACCGCTTTTTGGTTAGTAAATACCAGCACATTCCTGAGATGAAAGTATAAGGGGAAACTTGTTTTGATATTGCGGCAATAAACTACTATGCTGGGGTTGACGCTACCTCTGTTAGTTCACGCTCAAGTCGCATTGCCTCATCCAAAACCTTCATGAATTTCTCCCCTTCGGCTTCCCCCAACGGAAGCAATGGCTTTCGCGGAGCAATTCCATACCCATGCAGCTTGTTTAATGCATACTCTGTGTATAGTTAGTCTAGCACCCATTAAAATCCTTTAGGGAGATACTAACTCATCGCCCGTATACCACCTGGGACCGCAGCAGCATCAGCCCGAGCAAGAATTCCTTGGATCTTTTTTGCTTCCTTGCGTTCGGCCTCCGTTGCTGATGGCAAATTCAGTAGTGACCAGAGCCTCATAGAAGCCACCGGCACAAAATTAGGAATACCGCTAACAGTGCCATGACCACCACATTGCATCCAGGGGGTCAGATCCGCAATAAGGCCGTCCAGCAAGAGAAATGGAAATTTCCGTATCTCATTTATGGTGGTATCTTCGGAGATCAGGGCCTGAAGACGGATCAGCTTCCCCATACTCCCGCCGCATCTGCTCTTATTAGCGCTGTCCAAATGGCAAGAGTTGCCGAGAAGGTTATAACTCACGTCAACTTCACTCCACATAAGTTAGCTGCTTTCTTCGTAACTGCACTGATGACTTCTGAAGACATATCCTGGCCGCCAGCGTTGGAAGGGAAGTTGTATAGCAATAGAGGAATCTGTCACTTCATGAGCAATAATACATATAGTGCGGTATGGACAATTCATACTGGCGATGCTTCGCAAATATCAACATAATATTGAATAACTTGGTCCATGTCCGTGCTCAGACTTGCAGCGTAATAGGCAGGTAAAATAACCATTCCGGCATCTCTGTTATCGTTAGGAGTCTAATCAGCCAGAGGGATTCATTGCTAACTTACGCCCCAGCATCTGCTGCAGCTTTAGACAAGCTAATAGTTTCCCTGGTACTGAGTCCTCCTACACCAGCGATTATTGGTGTAGATTGCAGCCCTTCGCCATCCAAAGTTGCCCTGATAAAGCGGATAAGAGATATGCGCTCGTCGAAATTCTAAGAAGGTTTAGTACTATCATAAAAGCATAATAGAAGGAACGAAAGTCACCAGATGAACAGCTTCCCCTAACGATCCTGCACATACTGGTACTGAACGAGTGGTCGCATTAGTGTGTGGTTTCATACTATGCGTTAAATCAACTTACCCATGCCGCGGGTGACCATAGCTGTGATCAATGCCAGGTTAGTTTCATATGACTGATAAAATTTCTAAAGATGAGCCCTGTCATACCTAGCAGATGTCTCCGGTAGCTGTCATAGTCAATCTCTTGGTTGTCATCAAAGAAAGTTGGTAGTGGCACGTATACTCCTGGCCGGAGTGGCCGTGTAGTATATGCCATTGTAAGATCACTACAGGCAGTTGAATAGTAGCCACAAAGTCAGATTCCAGATTTTCAGGTTCTTCAATGTTTAATGTTCGACCTCTTCATACATATGAGGGGTGTGAGTGTCGGGAGCATCGGTCTATAACCCGCTGATAAGATAGACGCGGCAAGTCTCCGCTCGACCCGCATTGTGGTCAACCGTTCTACGGTTGGAAGAGAAGCCTTATCGCAGAGATAATGAGTTAGTTTAGGCTTCATGGGGCGTTTTTGTGGATGGGTTGACAATTATATATGATTATTGGTCTCCTTCCTTTTGACGAAGGCTAAGATTCATTCCTCGACCAGCTACATTGAACAATATGCAGGACGAGGTAAGATATGTCTCCTTGGACAGTAAGATGGATATTCGATAGTAACCTAGATCTCAGAAAACCAAAGAGCTGGCTTATGACGCCAACGAGATTCCTGTCGGCATGGGAACTGTCCAAGACACAGGTAGCAATCATGGCCTCCAACGACATCTTAGGGTATGTCGAGCCACACTCTTTTAATGACTACTGGAGTGAACTAACAATGAATATAGCCACGGCATCTGTAAGTCCCAGCATACTCGGGTCTTGATACGAGGGGACTCACAATTTGATCTAGACAAATGATTGCCATAGGAGGTGTTATCGTCAGTCATCCATCCTACTATGACTTTATTTTCGTGCTGATAAATTTTTAGGGTACTGGTCTCTTTCTAGGTACAGCGAGCGATCTTAAGAATGGTGGACCAGCTGGCCTTCTTATTGGATACTGTATTATGGCTTCATTGCTATATTCGGTAATGGTAAGGCAACTGCCGACTCCTTCATATCGTCGAAAGGGGCTAACAGCCATCTACAGGTTGCTCTCGGTGAGATGGTATCGCAATTCCCCATTCCTGGCGGCCAATTTGCTTTGGCTGGCCGGTTCAACTCGCCCGAGCTTGGATTTGCTATGGGTATTCTGTTCTGGTACAAGTAAGTGAGATTGTATTCTGATCTAGGAGATCCTGGGCTTACAAATTCTTCAGTTATATTGGTGTGACTATTCTTGCTTATCCCGGGAAATTAGGAAATATCTAACTTCTATAGTTGTTTTACCGGCTGAAATTTCCGCGGCGGCTGTTCTGGTTACATTTTGGACTCCGGCAGGGCAGGCAGATTCTACATGCTCCACTGGCATCTGTAATAATGCCATGTGGGTTGGTCTGATGCTTATAGTTGTGGTATGGATTTGTCCAAAGAATTGGACTACAAGTAATACTGATAACTGTCTAGTTTGCTATCAACTATGCGGGTACGCGAGTCTTTGGTGAAATGGAATTCTGGTTCTGTTCAATCAAAGTAAGATCGGAAGCGTGCAGTCTCAGAACTGCGGAGATACTGACTGGGATAGGTTGTGACTATTATTGGCCTTATTATCACCGGTGTTATTATTAGTGCTGGTGGCGGTCCTAACCACGAGGCAATCGGATTCAAATTTTGGCACGAAACTGGTGGATTCATACAATATGAAGGCATTGGTAAGCCGATTAATTCAGTGCCACAATGTTTACCGGCATCTAATATTCAATACAGCCGGTTCGAAGGGGCGTTTTCTCGGATTCTTCAGCGGTGAGACCAGACTCAACCTGTCGGCTCGTGCCGAATAGCTCATCGGTTTATAGTTTTGATCAATGCTGCGTTTGCATTTATTGGGTCTGAAATTACAGCAATTGCAGCTGCTGAGACTTCAAATGTAAGATTTTGTTAAACTAAGCGCGAGTTCACTTCACTTACAACCTATTACAGCCACGAAGGAATGTCCCGCACGCCATTAAGAGTGTCTGGATTAGGCTTGTACTATGTTAGTTGAGGTAATTCCTTTCTAAGACGTCAATATACTAACTTCCCTTCCCTTCAATACAGTTTATATCTGTAGTGCCTTCTTGGTAAGTGTCCAAATGTCGATGGTGACTAGCAGTGCACTTACAATCACAGATCGGACTCCTCGTGTCTCCCTCCGATCCCTCTCTCAGTCTTTCTTCAACTGCAGCCAAGAGTCCCTTTGTTATCGCCATCCAAGTAATTTACCACGCAAATATTGTCTTAGGGCCAAAAAGCTAACACATACAAACAGAACTCCGGGATCTCGGTCCTCCCTTCCATTATCAATGCAGCCCTCCTCACCAGCGCATGGTCTGCCGGTACAGCCGATCTTTTTGTCTCATCGAGAACCCTGTACGGACTGGCAACCCGTGGACATGCCCCTAAGATCTTTCTCAAGACTCGGGCAGACGGCTTCCCTTGGGTTTGCTTTTTGTTCTGTGGTGCTTTCTCTTTCCTGTCATTTATGGCCGCTGCCCATGGAGAAGCGGGCAAAGTGTTCGGCTATTGTGAGTGGGATATCTTGAGGAAATTTGTGCTAGATTATGAAGCTAATGCCGATAAAGTCTCGAACATGACTGCGATGTGTGGTATGATCTCCTGGACAGGAATCTTGTGGACCAGCATCCGTTGGAACAAAGGTCTCAAGGTGCAGGGCATCGATCGAAAGACACTCCCATATATAGCACCTCTTCAACCATATCTATCGTACTGTTCGTTTTACAACATTCCAGTTCATGCGAGATACTAATTTGTGCGGCTTTTCAGATGGAATCTCAATTTGCATAATGGTCATCATTTTCGGCGGGTTTGGTTCCTTCAGTGAGTTCGCAAGAGATGAAGCGCCTCGTTCCCTTTACTGATCTCCTTTACAGTGCCTACCTTTGATGCTTCCACTTTTGTTACGACGTACTTTCCAATTCCGTTCTTTGCTGTGCTCTTCTTCGGATACAAATTCTGGAACAAGTCAAAGATGGTCGATTATGCCAGCATGGACTTTGTCACCGGCTCTTCAATTGAGGTTACCGAGAAGGTTAGTCCCATATTACCTCAAGCGTTTCATCTAATTAACCGTTGACCGTCTAGGCGAGCGCTCAGAATCTGTGGCAGAAGATTTCCGATAGGATCTAGGTGATAATTGTCTTGCGCTGACTAGCCATGTGTGATTAACAATTCATAACCTCATTTTATTGATATGTATACGATAATTTGAATTACTTATTATTCTCTCTCTCTCTCTCTCTCTCTCTCTCTCTCTCTCTCGCTCTCTCTCTCGCCGTTAATTGTAGTAGACCTCGTAAGGGTTGCTCCCGCGAAATTATAAGGCCTAACATAAATAAAAACTTGTCCTAACCGACTTTCTGTACTATACACCTATAACGCGCCTTTGGTGTGGGGCGATGGCGGGAATTCAGTAACACGTTATCGCCCGCAATCAACTTGAGAGCGATAGACAATCCTGTATCTCAAAAAACGCATTGTTCCTGTCATCGGACAGATAAGCGGCATCGGCCGATGGCTGTCGGCTCGAGAGCCGTGCGTCCCGCTCTATCCCATTACCCTAGTTCGACACCCTCTCTCAATTTGATACTGTGATACTGACAATTCTATCGAGAATATGGCGCCTAAATTTGATTTGATTGTGATTAATGCGACAGTTGTGACTGCCAGCGACATCAGGTACCGGGCCTCTAATGATTCGGTAGACAGATCTATGGTTGCTAACGAATTAAAGCAAATGTTGTATCGGAGTCAAAGATGGAAAAATCCAATGTCTTGCGAATTCATTCACAGATGAAGAGCTGGCAGATACTAAGATCATAGATGCTGAGTACGTGCTCCCCGAATCCAAAGAACCAAGTACATAATTAACACGTCGAATACAGAGGTGCATATGTAATGCCTGGGGGTGTCGATGCACACGTCCATTTATGTCAAGACCTGAAAACTGGTAGCTAAATCATATGTTTTTGATCAGCATTGAATCTAACTCTCGCAGGACCACATGGCCTCGGCGGCGAATGCTCCGATAACTTTGAGACCGGGTCAAGAAGTGCTGTTGCCGGTGGGACCACTACTATTATCACCTTTGCTACTCAAACCAGAGCGGAAGAAGACCGGAGCCTCTTGAAGGTGGCTGAAAGGTATAACGCCCGTGCTGAGGAGACGGGCAGTTATGTGGACTACGGATTCCACATCATTATTGTTCGCAATGATGCGGATATTCTTGAGAACGAGCTACCGGTGTTGATCAAAGACTGGGGGATCAGTAGCTGCAAGTTATTCTTAACGTATGCGACGCAGCGTTTGACTGACTCGCAAATGTTGGATGTTATGTTTGCCGCAAGGAAGAATTCTATCACCACAGTGAGTTGCTCTCTGCCAACATGATATCTACAGTGGGTGGTTAATATTGCATTAGATGATTCATGCCGAGAATGGGGATATGATAGAATGGTTGACAGGTAAATTCATTGCCGAGGGATATGGAATGTTTAAAGCTGACTCAGACACAGAGAAATTGGAGAGTAAGGGGATGGTTGGTAAGTACACATATACTTGTTTTAATTTCATTTCTTGTTTGCTAACCTATACCAGCTCCTTATTATCACGCCTTGTCGCGTCCTCCGCTTGTTGAGGGAGAAGCCACCAATAGAGCGATTGCCTTAGCACAGCTCATCCAGAATCCGATTTTGTTTGTTCATGTTGGCTCAGTGGTACGTTCAGTTCTCATAAGGAAAGGGTCTTGTGCTAAATCAGGTAGCTTGGTGCTGCCAATGTGCGTCGTGCCCAGACTATGGGGCTGTCAGTCTATGCAGAGACATGTCCTCAATACTTCCACCTCACCTGGGATGATTTGGTAAATTGCCCCAACATAAAGCAAGTAGACAATCTCTAATTTTAATTATAGAAGCGGTTTCACTCACCAACATGTTTCGAAAACAGCAAGATGATTTGCTCGCCACCTCCACCACCCACTGCAGCTGACCATGAAGAGCTCTTTGTGTAAGATTGGGTGCATTCAATACGGGGTATCTTTAGCTGACATCTAAAAAGCGGTCTGTCAAACGGGACATTTACGATTTACTCATCTGATCATTGCCCTTTCCGCTACGACAACCCTCATGGAAAACCATCCGGTGTGTTAGAACACGAAGCAAGTATGGAGGGGGAGAGGTCATGTAGTGGAGATGAGCTACAAGATTTATTGAAACGGAAAGGAGGGACATTCCGCTTTATTCCCAATGGAATACCAGGAGTTGAGACACGCCTGCCGTTACTCTATACGGGGGCATTGGCTAGTGGTCGCATTACACCGCAGCGATTTGTTGAGTTGACATCGACAAACCCAGCCAAGTTGGTAATCAGATACCTGCGCCTTTTGTCTCCTTGAACTAATGCTGACATACCTATAGTACGGCCTGTATCCTAAGAAGGGGGCATTGATGCCCGGATCAGATGCCGACTTCGTGATAGTAAGACATGAATGCCAATATCGAAACCGCTGCTCCATGATATTGACATGTTACAATTCTAGTGGCACCCGGAGAAGACGTTTTCCCCGTTCAATCTCACTAATTCAATGCTACATCACAACGTCGACTGTAAGTGCCACGATCCAGTATGTATTTTTCAAGCGCGGAAAGCTAACATTATACCTTCAAAGACACTCCGTACGAAGGGATGAGGTTCGAAAACTGGCCACGATATACAATTCTCCGTGGTAAGGTCATGTGGTCAAATGGTAAGATAACCGGCAAGGTGCGAGATGGAGAGTATGTAAAACGTGGTCCGAGTCAATTGGGGCCGGTATCCCCTAGAACTGCTCGCGATACTCGCACAGTAGCTGATTGGCTCTATGAATAAAGCTGTCTGGGTCTATAGATGTTGCGAGAAACGATCTTATGTGGAAATACAATATACTCGCTTCAAGACTTCTGTCTAGAGACTGTCCATTATTATCGGTGAGCTATGACACCACTTGTATTTCTCCAACTACTAAATTAGACTTTGATGGAAGTTCCACTAGTTAAACCTTCCAAGGTTGGAACACCCGGGTATCGGTAGCAAATCAGCGTCCGGGATGTTATCACTGATAACGAGCAACCAGTATCCCCAGGCCTTTTCCTTTAGTCTGACTCTTTAAGACGTGTCTTGTGTCTTGTCTTAGTCCCGGTAGCATAGGGTAAACATGTCCTTCAATGCCAACTGGCCAGACAATCATAGTACAGATGATGAGCGGCCCGCCAAGACGCGTCGGATTGCCCGAGCTTGTCTACAAGTGAGTGCTGCAAATTTAACAAAAGGCGATTAGATGTTTAACACATCCATTTAGTGCCGCGCGCGGAAACAGCGATGTTTGCCATCATCCGAAGAATACAATCTACAATTACCATGCAAGCGATGTCAAAGGCTAAACATCACTTGTTCATTTGAGACAGATAGAGCTCCAACATTGGATCTGACTCAAAGTCCGTCAGGTCTTGTACAACTGGTAATTGAACTTCAAAATCGGTTAGACTCAAAGTTGCCACTCAGTCAAGAGCAGATGCTAAAGCCTGAAGCAGACTCAACCAACATGAAACACGAATATTTGAGTTAGAAAATCAGAAGTGTTCATTCAACGTCAATACAAAGGAAAGACCCAGAGATATCCAGCCTGAACGCCAGGAAGCTCTTTCGAGGAGTCAAAGCGACATATATGATTCTCCTGAGTCAAATATAGACGGAATCCATCTGGGTCCTCCTATTGCAACATTGCGATCGTTAAGATTGCTTGCCGAAGAAAGAGTTCATGCATCAACTTTAAGAGCCCAGAGATACAAGAGCATATACGACCCTACATATCAGGGACTCCTTACAGTCGAAGAGGTCGAGCGAGCAGTTAAAATGTATTGTACAACTCCGTTCGGGAAAAATGCCACCTACTAATATGCAGTAGATTTTTTCAGCATTGCCATGCCTCGGCGCCTGTATTAGATGAAGGCATTCGGGATACATGGCAGGAATATCTTCAAACAAGCCCAACACTCATTCTGGCCATATGCTCAGTTGGTACTCGGTTTTGGGATATGGGTGATCAAGGGTAGAGAGTGAGAATTGCTAGATCCAGAAGCCAGGCTAATAATAATCATGTCCAGTGATGGTTCTATTGTCGGTCATCCTCGATTTCATGATCTCACAAAATTACTCGACAAAGCAGTCTCCAAACTTCTGCTCCGGCCCACTCCATCAGATGTCACATTAGACTCTATCTGTGTGCTTCTTCTCTATGCCCAGTGGATGCCATGCAGCAAAGAAGATGATGAAGACGAGAATGATGAGCGCCAAAGTACATATCACGAACCTAAGGCCAAAAGTCGATACAACGAGATCAGTGCTTGGGTTGTTTTAGGACTAGCAGAACGATACTCTGTCTTACTAGGCCTCGAACAATCAGCCACATCACTTTTCAAACATCCCAACAAGGTACCAACCATAGAGGATGTGAAAAGGCTACGAGTGTGGTACAACTTGCTCACTTGCAACTTCAACCTTATGCTAACATCAGGTCTACCTGCATCAATTGATCCTGGTCCATCGGTTCAGGTAGCGTGTAGGTTTGTCTCTCATGAGTTGATGCAGTCCCCTGCGGATCTTCGAGTAAGGGGGCTTGTGGAACTTGTCGGGATAGTCCACCTTGCTATGTCTAGTTCTGGGGATAAATCTGGCCGCCAATTGCAACCGAGTTGCTTGGAACGGTTGAACAGTGATTTAGATGATTGGGAGAAGTAGGCGAACATTTCTGGAAGTTTCGATTTTGACCTGCTTACTGACGGCTGGCAGATCTTGGTTTTCTCGTTTACGTGCGTTTATGGGACTTTTTATATTCACAGTTATTAACAATCACCAGAGAAAACGGAGTCATATCATAACCATTTGCCATTTACTTCAGCCCGGGTATGCAGTTCCCTATCTACACGCATCCGGGTCCAACATAATCTAACCAGCGATGTAGTGGTATCGACTCTCCCTCAATTGTGCATCACTCGCACCACTACTTTCTTCCCCGCGGGTACATCGACGATCGACAGATTCAAATGAATCACATTTCCGACAGGCGCTTTCAGTTAGCTTGACCGCAGCAGTGCAGATAATATTAGCACAATCGACCTTCAAGGCAGATATTGTCTTCTCACTAGATTCGCAGAAACAATCTAGCTTTCCCTGTGGGGCATACAATGTGGACCGTTCGTCTGTGAGTCGATTATACTACACGGTGGACTCAACCTGGATTTCACATACGTTCGCTATCATATTCTTATGTATTTGCTATATTCGGGGCATCATCGATGGTGAGATATATAGATACTTCGAAGTGATGATATAAGCTTCTCAATTACTGACAACATGGAAAACAGAAAGCCTACAGATTTGTAGCCAAGGTTCTAGTCAAGAGAAAGAGAAAACCTTGACACGTCTTCCATCCTCTTCTTGGTCAGTGCTCGCTCGACTCCTTCGTCTTGCAATAGACATATTCGATAGTGTTTGTCCAGCCACGACATTTCATTTTGCCCACGACTTCCAAGCCATTGTTCACTATGCAGTTGCCTTGGTACTAGTCTCTGAAAAGGACGAGCAGCATATTGAGGAAAAAGAGATTGATGATATGGCATTCCAGTCTCTATTAGATTTGATGAATGATTCCGGTGTTGACTGGGCAGGGAATCTTTTTGGAGAGTCGCTTGATTTCCCGGAGTTGAGTATGGACGGAATGCTTCATAATTGATAGTAGGATCCATGGATATTATAGCTTCGAGGAGCCATGTCTATATCAAAATTTCGATCTATAATTAGTATTCAAAGAAAGTTGTAGCCTATACACTCGTGAGAATAAACTTACCTCTCGGCATCATCTAACTCAAACGAGATATCTTGTGCTCCCTTCCAAAGCACCAGCTCACCCAGTGCCTTTAAGTTCTCGGTTCCTTCAACTATAGTCAAGAAATGATTTGCCACCAGTGGTCCCATCTTGCTCGCAAAGGCAACGCCTCCATAGCAGAACAGAATCTCTGTTTCGGAGATACCACCAGGATACAGCAGGATCTGACCCGCAGCAGGGTGAGCCGTATGGTTCTCAAATGGTAGTCCGAAATCGGTCTCTCCTAATGGGATCCACATACCCTCTCCGCTCCAACGAACATGGATGAGCTTTTGGCAGTATGGGAGTAGGGTGCGGAAAAGGGCCACCGTTTTGGGAGCTGAGGATTCGAATCTCGCGCGGAATTGGTATGGGCCGGCTGTTATTAGGATAGAGGTCATTCTGGAAATATGAAAGGAAATTAAATTATTAACCTTTCGTTTCAGAGGAAGAAAATGCTGAACTATTTGAGTAACCGTATCTCACCCATCGGCATTTTCAGGGTCGGCCCGCGCGGGCTTCAAGCCGCGTGCGGGTTGATCGGGAGCCATATCAAAAGCGAGGATTGCCTCGCGAAGTTCGAGGTTATACAACTCACATTACAATTTAATGTCTGATATGTCTGATCACATGCATATTTTGGTCTACTATAACACCTGTCCTTCTCGGACAGGTGCTCAACAAACGATCCAAGAAGGCTCACTGTTCATCCACCCAATACTCCATTCGGAAGATTCATCTTTTGGCGCAGAAGTATCCGGCGTTGATTGGGGCAAGCCTATCTCAGCTTACGTTGTCGCGCAAGTGAGTTAACTTTACCAAGGTTACAAGAAACCACTGACAAGATGCTAGTTAATTGCTTTGCAAGACAAGTATGGAGTACTGATCTTCCGCAACACGGGGCTAGACAATAGTCGGCACATTGCATTCTCGAAGCAATTAGGTGACAAGTTAGAAGTCAATCCGTTCTTTTACGGACGAGAAAATGACAGATTGGGAGAGCCCTTACTATTCGACGTGGCCAAGTGAGTGTTCCGCAAAAATTCAAAATCTAAGGCATGGCACGTTCTAAATGGGAGTAGCATCGAGCTAGATGGTTCGCTAGTGAAGATGAACAGTCGCAGGTATCATCACAGTCTGGGTAATGCGTTATGGCACACCGTAAGCACTATCGTTCCCAGCGAGCAAGGCACATGGGTACTGACCAATCTAGGATTCCTCATATCACCAACAACGGTCCAAGTATTCCATACTACTTTCTCATGGAAATCCGGTCGAAGGCGGATCGTGGACCCATTTTGCGGATACACGTTGTGCCTACAGTGACCTATCTCAAGCGAAAAAAGACGAGATCGAGAACCTCGTTATTGAGCACGAGTAAGCCATCTATTGCGAGATGTCCCTGTCTCTAAAGTTAATTTTATCCAGTCTCTGGCATTCCCGAAAACTCGCCTCACCAGCTGTGTTCGGAAATCCTCTTCCTCATGAACTCGCAGCCAAGCCACCGGCCTACCACCGTCTCGTGCAAACAGCACCAGACGGACGAAAAACATTGTATCTAGCGGCGCATGCCAAACGGATCGTCGGCAAAGGTCTCGAAGAGAGCCAACGTCTGATTTGGGAGTTGATCGAACACTGCACACAGTCAAAAGTGAGTCTAAGTCAGCCATGTTCTGTCAATCTCCAGGGCTAACTTGGGCAGTATGTCTTCAGCATGGAGTGGCTGTCTGGCGGGGATATGGTCTGGTGGGATAATCGGTAAGTTCCAAACGTCTTACGTTGATCATCTGTTACTGACCTTTATAGCCAATCAATGCATCGTGCCAATCCCTATACCGCGACGATGACTGCGAGGGATGTCCGTCGTTCTACGGTCCTTGATGATGGACCTTGGGCATTGGGCATCTCGACAGCAGAACTGGAATAAAGACCTGCCCATCATGGGCTATAGCATTACAGCATCAACCCATGCGATTAACTAGCATAATATAGTTAAATCGAAACAATGAGTAGTAGTTTGTCGTTCAGATATAACGTATGCCAGAACCAGTCTACTACCCTTCCAATAAAGTAAGTTTGGCAAGAACTCCATCGCTAGGCAAAACAGTCGCCCCCTCCCTAACCTCCAAATTCCAAGGTTACCTACCTATGTACTTGATTTCCTCTGTCACTTCTTGGCCTTCCATTTCCATCTTAGTGCTCAGTCCTTGCCACTTTTTGTTCGGTCTCTAGCCGTGTTCTCTCAGTATCAGAGCATGGTTGATCACATGAACTCAAGTACTACGACTCAGAAAGCAATGGTCGTTGCTTTGAGCGCAGCAGTGGATATTGATCCACGGGAGATTGATTGGGAATAAGATACCTAGAAACGACTGTGCAATTATCTTGCAAAAGGTAGGTGGCATTGTATCAGTATACCGTAACGCCCAAAACAATGAGAGAGACAGCGGACCTTTCAATTATGGAAACACTAATTGAGATGAGAGCTGCCGAGCTTGCCAGCACGTTCACACGTGGACCAGCCAAGTTACATTTCCCACTCCTGCATCCACTTCATCACCCATTTATCCTGAACCGGTTCCATGGAAGCTAAACTGTTGCTTGCAGCTAGGGCCCGCCGTATTTCCGGAATTGCGACTTCCTCCCTTTCCCCAAGTATTCGGAGAAGTTCCAAGAAGTAACTTGCCGGGTTCTGACTAGCACTGTCCTGCGTTCCATTGGTTGTGGATTCCTTTAACGCATTGATCCAAGTGTCGAAAGGCACGGTTTGAACAGAAACCTGTGTCCGGTTTAAATAGGCAATGACAGCGGGGAGAAGGAGACCCCATTGGGCGGACCGCGGGTTCACGACGTTGTAGACTGTTGGGAGAGAAGAAGACGTGATCTCGGCGCTGTCGATCAATTCCATAACGGTTTGCGCAAAGATATCGACAGGAACCCAATCGATAGTATCGGCTCCCTTTATCGTCTCAGGCAAGAGGCCTAAATACCGTCCGCTAGCAATCATGCTGGGAAACCATTCTGTTCTATTCCACATGCCTTTCCTATGCACTGGGCCAGTAAGTTGTCCGGCCCGAATCACATATGTCAAGACTCCGCAACACTTGCTTGCAATATTCAGCAATTGCTCCGCAACTAGCTTCGATTCACCGTAGCCCAAGGGGATTGCTGTATTGTAATCATCTATGATCTCTTCCGGGATGAATCCTGGTTGGTGCCTTTGCCAGTCAATAACAGCTGAGAGGCTGGATAGAAAATAGATACGCGGCACCTTGGACGATGAGATACTGAATTGAATAACGTTTCGCACACCGCAAAGATGGTCACGCTCAAATTCCTCAACAGGGGAAACGAGATCGAGTTTCCATGCAGCGTGGATCACATGCGTTACCGACGATAGCAGCGACCTGTAGGTTTCTGGAGCGAGGCCTAGGTCATGAGCACCCAGCTTGGCTTGGACAAACTCCACTCGGTCGCAGGTAAAATTGGCGGGAAGGTCACGTAATGCATTCGCCCCGGTCTGTCGTTCCCTGCCGTTGATCGACCGGTTGAGACAGATAATTTTGATGACCTTGGGATGCTGGAGCAGACGCTCTAGCAGATACGAACCCGCTGAACCAGTGGATCCGATGAGCATCACAGTCCATTTATCATCTTCCACTGGTGAGTGCCTTGCAGGCTGAAGACCACGGGAGTACTTCTCAACCAGCGCACGCATTTTTCGTACTCGGTGGGGTTCCTTGGAGCGTTTTATCCCCTTTTGGTGATCCTGAGGGACCGAATTCTCCGAAGCTTCTCTTCTTATCTCACTCAGAGGATCCGCCGAACGGCTTTTCCGGTTGCTGGTCTCGCGGACTGTAGGTCCAACGAGGTCGGATTTGGTCGCGATTCGATGGGACAAAGTTGCAATAGAGGCCTTTCCAAGGATTTCAAAGAGCGGTATATTAGCTTTGAGCTCATGTAAAATCCAATTACGCAGCTCAACTCCGATGAGCGAGTCGACACCCAGGGCGGCAGTGGTATGATTTGGACTAATGTTGTCCTTTGGAACCATCAATAGTCGAGATAATTTGTCCATAATTCCTTCTTGTAGAATCGAGGACCCTTCCTCTAGGGTTTGGGCCTTCTTAAACTTGTCACGAAGCACTTTGGCCAGATCTTCACCGTCTCGAAGCTTTATTACTGACCCGGAACGTAAATGAGAGAACTTTGGGTCCTGTGTCCATAGCGGCTTCTGACGAGTTTTCCCCAATTCTTCAGAAGCTAGGTCAAAGACTTCTGAGATATGTATGCCAGTAATGACCTGGGAAGACTGATTCTCGACAGACTGGGTGACTACAAACTGTAGGATTGCACGGAGTTCCTCGATGCCAATTTCATCGTAGAGCTGCTGCTTCAGCCTGGTTTTCGTCTGGTCATTTTCAAACACAAACCCCGCTCCTTGAACAACACCCAAGTCGATGGTTACCGATGGGAGGCCCATGGAGACTCGGTGACAGGATAAAGCGTCTTGAAAGGCTGACGCTGCAGCGTAGTTACTCTGTCCTGGATTTCCTACCACCCCAACAGCCGAGCTCAGAATTACGAAGAAGTCCAACTCGGTCTGTAGGGTGCATTGGTGAAGGTTCCATGATCCACTAACCTTGGGGAGGATCACAGATTCATAATCGTTGGGAGTCATCTTTTCGAATGAGACGTCCTAATTTCGCAATATTAGTACACGATACTTCGGTATAGTAGGTCAACTTACCTTCAAAACCATTGCACATTGTATAATCCCGCATATAGGACGTTTTCGGGCTGCGCACTCTTTCACGATTTCAGTTACTTGTTTTTCATCACAGACGTTGCCAGTGTGACTCGTGACGTTAGCGCCGTCTCTATCGAGGTCCTGAACAAATTCCTGGGAGCTCTGGGAGTTTAGTCCGCTGCGAGATAGGAAAACTATGTTCTTCGCCCCATTCCAGACCATCCACTGGGCAATGGCCTTTCCAAGGCCACCTAGACCACCGACTAGCAAATAGGAAACATCATCCCGGAACAAGGAGTTGGCCAACACTCTCACTGATGCCTGCAAGATGTACAATGTTAATATATTCTCCACTACGGAGAAGAATGGGAGTCTGATTACTTTAACTTTATCCTCTGCTTGCGGGGCAATGACGATCTTTCCCATGTGCTTCCCTCGCTGCATCAATCGGAAAGCGGCTTCGACCTCGGACATTGAAAAGACCGTAATTGGTTTCACTGGTTCAATGACCTTCTTTTCAAGTAACTCCATAACATTCGCTAAGATCTCGGCAGCGTAGTCGCTCTTGTGGTAGAGGATGGTGTCGAGGTCAATGGCGGAAAAACTGACATGGCGCAGAAATGGCTCCATCTCCAGTAGACTGTTGGAGAATAGGTCTCGCTTGCCAATTTCAAGGAAACGGCCAAACATAGAAATGCAATTCCATGACTCTCTCAGTCCATCTCCAGATAGCGAGTTCAAAATAACGTTAACTCCTTTGTTCTCGGTCAATCTCATGACCCCTGAGGCAAATATGGTGTCTCTGCTGGAGAAAATGTGGTCTTCGGCGATGTGATACCGCTCCATGATGAACTGCCTCTTCTCCACTGTGCTCACCGTGGCGAATATCTCAGCTCCAATCCACTGAGCCAAGGCGATCGCCGCTTGGCCAACCCCACCTGCAGCGGCATGGATGAGTACAGTCTCCCCTTTGCAGAGGCGTGCTATTTCACATAATGATATGTAGGCCGTGGAATATACGGCAGGTACTGAGGCAGCTTCCTCGTAGGTCATCCCCCGCGGTATTCTTTGGACAAATTTCTTCTCGGTGCGGACATAGTTCCCGAATGCCCCGATTACCCAAGCAAAGACGCGTGTGCCTACAGCGACGGACTTCACTTGATTTCCAATACGTCGAATAACCCCACTGCACTCATACCCCAGAGGCCCACTTTCAATGTGGCCCATGGCAGTCAGGACGTCGTGGAAGTTCAAGCCACAGGCTCTAGTCTCTATCTCCACCTCATCATCTCCCAGTGGAAGAGCAAACGTTGGATTGTCCACGAATATGAACGAGTCGAGGAGGCCCGGTCTCTCTATTTCCAGATGCAAAAATCGAGAAGTTTGGTTGAAAGCCTGCTGCTCAGATCGTTTCGGCGCAGCTCTCGCTGAAATGTAGTCGTTCATTTGATTATTTTCGAGAACGCGGGGGATGGATATCAGTTTATCCCTCACAGAAAACTCATTTTCGGATACTATTTTGTCACTTTCGAGACTGAAAACAGATCGGAAGACACTTATGATTGCCTCTATGTCTGTTGTTCCATCGTGGGGGGTTTGAGGGTCAAGGTCAAGCATCACCAACTTTGACAGCTTAAGCTCGTACCTCAGTGTACGGAAGAGGCCAGAGACCATACTGGCTTCGGGGTTTTCCGGCGAGGGAGTTGTACCTCCACGAGAGATCCACAGAACAGCCTGTGCCGTTGTAATGGCTCTTTTGATGCCATAAAACTGGGAAGAACTGAGACGAGAGAGAATTGGACGGTTGAGCTCGATAAGAAAAATGCAAGCCCTACCATCCACCCGATAATTTTCTAGTAAGCTCAACGTCGGTGGCACACCAACAACCTTACCCAAGGATCCCTGCAAAAGACCCAGGAATGTACTATCCAGCGATCCATCGTGGATCAATGTTATCTCTGGGTACTTACTTTCAGCGGCAGACAGTGCAGTAGATACGATAAGACTGGTTAGATGGTCCTTTCTTTCTGGCTGGTCCCACAAACATACGTCCAGCCCACTGAAGCCGTTCTTCTTCAGAACGGCCTCCCACTGGGAGTCCGCCACAGTTGGGCCAGCCTCACGACTTTCCTCAGTAGCTGCGAAATGTGTTAAAGACCATGTATAGCATACCAGCATCAGAAGTCTCACCTAACCACCACCCAGGCAGTGTTCCAAAGATCAAGGAAACACGGACGGCCGGATTCGTTATCTCGACCAAGATCAGTTTCCCGTTTGGCTTTAAAAGACTTCGGATATTCTGCATTGTATTGTCCAGGCTCCGAGTAGCGTGCACGACATTGGCTGCAATAACCAGATCAAACCCTTCTTTCTGGAATCCTTGCTCTTCGGGGTCACACTCGATATTAAGCTTCTTGAAGCTCATGAGTCCTGACCAAGCGTTGAATTTAGCCCGTGATTTCTCGAAGAAACCAGAGGAGATGTCAGTGAATGTATAATGGCTAAAGCGAGCGTCGCGGCTGTCATTTCCACCCAATGCCTGCAATATCGGCAACGTGGTCCCGCCTGTACCACCACCAATCTCCAAGATGTTCATATTCGGGTATTTGTGACTGAGCTTGACGGCGTACGAAGCCAGTTGTTCCGTGGAGCGGTCGACACCGATGCCATTGCCGTACAATTCATGCAGCAGGTCATTTTCCATCATCAGGTCTAGAGGCTGGACTTGATTCGTCAAAATGCGAACCAGGTTGCTTCCCACCTTATCAAGTAACCGGCCATCGGGGCTATTTTGAAGCTCATTGCGAAGTTTGTCCACATTAACGGAGTCACCGGCTGCTTCCAGTAAATTGAGAGTCTCCAGCTTGCCAGCTGAGGCAAGGTTGGATTGCAGTTGCATCCACTTATAGCATCGTTTATGGTGCGGCTGCATAGTGTCGTAGTCCGACTCTTTCAGTACCTTGAGCGCATTCTGAATGTACTGGAGGGAAACGAGATCTAAAACGGAAATTGCGATAGGATCAACAGCGCCCGATTTTGCGGACAAGACCTTTCTGGACATTTCAAGAGTAAGCATGTCGACATCAGGTTCCCAAGACATGTTATAGCAGAGCTTTCTCCGTTGCGCATTCTGTTTTACAAAGTCTCTGCCTGCCAGTGAGACACATTTCAATTTCTTAACCTCGACAACAGTGGTTTTGTCACTGTTAGAGTCGTCAACCACTGTGATGATGGTTTCGGTTCCGTGAGGACTCATTGATTGAGTAGACGCATGGACTGAAAACTGATGGCCCGCGGTCTTGTCGATGTCTGCGGCGACGAAAATTTCCTTGATATACTTTGGCAACATAGGTGCTTCTAGTGTCCCAGTGCTCATCAGTGAGACGATGGAGGTCTGGAGAATGGCGTCCATTGTCGCCGGGTGGACGACATGGGGATATTCAAAACCTTGTGGCATGACAGCTTTCGTATCGGGAATTGCGATGGTACATAAAGCTTGGCAAGGTCCGCCATGTGCGTCGATCAAGTTTTTGAAAGTGCCACCAAATTCAAGTTGGAGAGTTTCAAGGAGGCGATACAATTCGTGGATGTCAATTACTTCGCGACAAGCAGTGGCCCCATCTGCAAATTTCTGTCGGTTAGTCTCTAGCACCTGGCTCTTCTCTTTGGTGTCAATCCCTGATTTGGATTCTTTCACGACCACAGCAATTAGACCACGACAATGCTCAGACCACCCCTCCTCTTTGCCATGTGAGTAGAGGCAAAATTCTTGCCAAGTAGCTGAAGAGCCTCCATTACACCCATTCAATGGATGAAGAACAAAACTTGTTTCAATGCCGTCAGAGTCATCGGGAATCACGAGCGCCTTACTGATGTCAAGGTTTCGTAGTCTAAAACCAAGTATGGTAGTGTCTTGATTCGAGATGCGTTGTGCAACTGCTTCTATGGCCATTGCGATGTATCCTGCAGCCGGATAGACAATACTGGATTGCACCACATGGTCCCGCACCCAAGGGATGTCCGAGACGCGAAGAATGTTTCTCCACCTCGGCTCCAACTCATTGAAATCATTTACAGGGGCGCCTAGGAGGTCATGTCGGGGATTTGGTCTGTACCGATGGTTCAGACTGAGGCGACTCTCGTGCCAATAGCTCACGGCATGCTTCCATACATAGGGGGGTAAGTCCACTAGGACACGCGGCGAACGTTCGGACTGGGGAAAGTTGATAGCGCTCGTCTTGAGGGGATACCCCGCGGTAAATATTGCAGATGCAGAGTTAAGCATTGAGGCCACAGCATTGCTGTTTCGGCACAAGGTAGATGCATACTCAATGTTTGCGTCTTTCAATTCCGGAGCTCTCAGGATCTGTTTCACGGGGCTTGCTAGAGTGGGATGTGGTCCAATCTCAATAAGAAACTCGATAGCACTGTCTTGCCTTCCTGGGCCTTGATGGCGTGCTTGTGGGGAGCAAAGGCACAAATTCCGTAGAGATTCTAAAAACCTTACAGGGGAAAGCATATTCCTGACCCAGTATTTGGCGTCTAGGTCTGTGGCTTCGGCAATTTGGCTAGTAACTGAACTCCAATATGGAACTCTCGTCAGCGGGTTCGTTCGTAGGTCCCGCAATGTCATGAGATAGTCGTCTGCAATGGCTTGCATATGATGCGAATGATACGCAGTGTCTGAGTTCAACTTGCGAGCAAAGACATTTTTAGACTGAAGCTGGCTGAGTATCTCATCAATGGCGGAAGAATCACCAGACAACGTCACGTTAGAGGGGCTGTTTATGCAAGCAACGGTGATATATCCTGAAGAAACAGTTGAGATATAAGTCTCAGCCTCCTCTTGGGATAGGCCGACAGCCATCATGGCACCAGGAATATGAGGAGCTTTGCTAGAGATGCTGGTAGAGAGCAATCCTTTGAAATAAGAGATGGACAGAGCCGCATCCATTGTTAGGGCACCAGCAGCATAAGCCGCAGCAGCCTCCCCACTTGAATGCCCGATAACTGCAGAGGCTTGAACACCCCAGGACTGTAGGAGATTTACTAGGCCTATCTGGATGGCAGTACACAACGGCTGGCAGATGGCGGCGATGTTGATCTTGGTTGTGCTTTTGTCGCGGTTCAGCTCATCTATTCTTGGTCAGAACAACAGTGGCATGATAACCTTTTGGTAATACTTTTTCCTTACCGAAGATTGACCATGTTGCTCCCATTTTTTGCAAATGGTAATTAGCCTCGACCAAGGTCAACTCAAACACTGGAAACGTATGGATCAGCTCTTGTGCCATTCCGTGCCATTGTGCCCCTTGGCCAGTAAACACGAAACCAATTCTCGGAACCTTTGTGGACAAACGCGTTATATTCGGAACTTGGAGTGACTCGATGAGTTCTACTGCTGACGCTGCTGAGACTGCAGTCTTCCATGGCAGCATAGTCCGGCGCTGATTCAACGTGTAAGCAAGGTCACCCATGAAACATTCCACTTGTTGAGAAGTATGCATTTGAACGTAGTGTTTCAAATTCTGCAGGGACATTTTCAAAGTTTCCTTGTCGTTGGAAGTGACGACGAAAAGTCGTCGTTGACTATCGCTTTTTCCCAACACAGTAGGCTCTTCGCCTCTCTGAGGGGATACTGATCGATGCGATAATTTCATTCCACGTAGGGCAAGATATTGGCCTGCATCTTCCATGATGAGGTGTGCGTTCGTACCCCCGAACCCAAAACTATTGACCGACACACGTCGAACACCATCACACGGCCATGTTTCCAGTTTCTGAGGTACCTGTTTTGCAAATTAGCCTCTGTCTAACAGAAAGTTTGAAGATGCATGAATACCATGAGTTTCCATTCCTCCAAAGGGATGCGTGGATTTGCTCGTCTGAAATTGAGGCTCGGGGCGATGGCCCTCTTTTCAAGCATCATCACACACCTGATCACGCCCGCAAGTCCACTTGTAGACTCCAAATGCCCAACATTTGTTTTAACCGACGCAAGGCGGAGTGGCTGATGACTCGGTCTTCCTTCACCAAACACTGCTGCAATAGCTTCGGCCTCAACTGGATCACCCGCTGCTGTCCCAGTACCGTGCGCTTCGACGTAACTGGTGTCCAGTGGACTTAAAGCGGCTCTTATATAGGCAGAGCGAATCAGTTGTTCTTGTGCATCACGGTTGGGTAGTGTTATACCTGCGGTTCTTCCATCTTGGTTGGTGAAAGTTTCTCGAATAACTGCTCTGATGGGGTCGCCATCCCGCAGGGCATCGTTTAAGGTTTTCAAGACAACGCAGGCGATTCCTTCGCCACGGGCGTACCCTTCAGCGCGGTCATCAAAGGTATAACATCGCCCGTCTGGTGAAAAGAAGCTGAAATTTGGTCAGCACGGTACCTTACGTTCCAAAAATCCCGTGCAAACACGTACCCCTGTCGAGTCATTTCAACCGCTCGATCCGGATTGATGATCAGGTTTGCAGCTCCTACAATTGCTTGTTTAGATTTACCGGAACGTAAATCGTTACATGCTGTATTCAGAGCTACGAGACTCGACGAGCAAGCGGTATCAATGGTGACGCTGGGTCCTCTCAAATCGAAGAAGTGAGAGATTCGATTGGACAGGATCGAGGGAGCGTTTCCCGTGGATTGATACACGGGCAGGTTCTCTGGGTCACATTTTAGCAGTTGATCATAGTCCATATTAAACGCTGATGTGTAGACCGAGGTGTTTGTCCCTCTGATACTGTCCAAGCGAATACCCGCTGAAGATTGAACATCAGCAACTGGAAACATCCCTGACGCAGCCCGACTTACCGCTCTCCAGAGCTTCGTACACACACTCAAGCAGGATCCTCTGTTGGGGGTCCATAGCCTGGCACAGTCAGTCACATACAATTCCTGCGTGTATGATGCCGAAGTACCTTCGCCTCAGTTGCACTTATCTGGAAAAATTGAGCGTCAAAATGAGAGATATCTTGCTTCAAGTAATATCCGCCACGCATGACCATCTGTACAAAAAGCTGTTAAAGGCAGTCATGAAATAATTTCGATAAAGACGGGTCGCCCTTACGGAACCATTCCGTTCAACACTCGGATGATAAAAGGAGCTCGCATTGAATCTGCTAGATGGGTGTTCCGACCATGCATCTCGACCTTCGGCACATAGCTTCCAGAATTCCTCGGGGGAGTTTGAGTCCCCGGGGAACCGGCAGCTCATCCCAACAATGGCAATTGCCTGAGTTCTATCTTGAGGATATTGTCTGGAAAGGGTTTAGAGGAGCAGTAAACCACCACACCAAATCATTAGATATGGGAGCAAGTTCCAGGGACGTACCTTTTCATTCCGTTCGTCAGAGAATCCACACCAGGGCTGGTGCTATTCAAGGTCAGATTAGGATCCTGAAGAATTGGAGACATCTCTGCCTCGAACTAGAGCCAAAGAATTTTTTGGCCGAGATAGTATAGGTACTAGATGTTAAACGTGAGAGGAAAAAATCACTAGTCAATCTGAGTCCTAGATCTAGTAATCCTATTCTGAAGCGGATATTTATAACAATTTGGACATCATCTAACTAGACCAGGTATTCATGTAACACAGCTTAAAAGTTTATACACTTGAACCCCCACCTCAGCGCACTCGCACACCGACTTTTCTCTATATTTTATTCGAACTTAGCACATAAACTAACTGAGTCCATTCGCAGTAGAGCAACCTGTGCGTCAGGCTGGGGTACCGAGAAAGTATTATACATACCGTGTAACCTTCCGATTACCCTTGAGTAATTGAGTCGGAAATTAGTCAGCAAATTGGAAATTATATGCGCGCCTTGAACGACTTGGGGTAGCTGCAGCTTGGTTCCCGAAACGGGAATTGGGTAATTCTGGAACCGCTATACAGTATGAATGGATGTATAGATGGTTTAATTTGATCTGACCCCTCGCTTTTGGCGTTATGTCTGTAATAATTCCACTTTAACCACTGAACCCCTGCGGTACGCCATTAGTCCGGGCGATAATATCTCCCCACGGAGACGTAATGATGGTTATTGTTGTGCTGGCATTGGGACTCGGACCCAATGTCTGCAGGATAAAAAATGGCCATTTCGTCATCCTGCAGGTTGCATCTGAGTCCTAACAAACTACGCTTCCGCTATCACCACTATTATAAAGTAAAATTCTTATCAAGTAATGATAGACAAGGATAATGACAATATCTCCATGACGTCAGGTCACATTGCCCTAAATCAAGGCCGCGTTGCCCTAGATCTACCCCATAAAGAAGATTGGGAGTCTGCTGCCAAATATCTCTTATGACATGATCGTGGACCTTATGCATGCAAACCTCAACATTAACTTGTATTCCAACCCAGGTTTTATGGATCACGAGGCCAAGTACGAAGCCGTTCGGAGGAGACCCAAGTCAGAGCCCATCTTTTGTGCCTTAATGTGGAACATCTATGCTGCAGTATATGACACAAGGTCTCTTTGTACATACCCAATTCAGTTTCATCTCCATGCCACTCTATTAGATTGGTATCAAAGGATACCCAGTCATAGTTGAGTTAATTGAGGAAGCTATTGCCATATCCTCTGTGTGTACTTGACTTGCTGTAACAGCTACATGTTTGTCACACAAAGATATTGCGCTCTATCGATCGTCGTCAATAGGTGGTCCCAAATATACCAGGGCTTGCAGACCGGAAAGTGTAATCGGGCCATGTACCTCAGCCACGGGCCTCTAGAAAGACTCCATCGCGAACAGATATAGCGATCTGCAGAGATGTCTCTCAACAGGGATCATTGTTGACTTGGCCTTTCCCAAGATGTCGATAGCTTTGAAGTTCTAATGACAGTTCTTGGAGTCGAACCTTCTCCACCTCGCCTTTCCCTTCCGTCTTAACGATTATGCTTAGGATGAGACATTTTTGCCATTGGACCGCTGCGCCGACCCCTAGATCCTTCTTGTCCCTTCAAGGTCAGTCGGTCGTCGAGTTTCCGCCCATCGTGGCGAATTCTCCCTACGCTCTTTCTGGATACCTCCGCAGGGGAATTCAAATCTGCAATAGGGACGCAAAGGGCGAATGAAAGTCTTGATGGCCTTTGGTAATAGAGTTCGCCTCATTGCGCAACTGCGGAGGGCCTAGACCGTAGTCGTCAGCTCATTTGATCGACCTGACTGTCCCAGTCGACTCCATGCCTTTGCGGTGATCAGAAGATTTTGTGAAGTCAACTTCAAGGCTTGGGATGGTCTTTGAACCTGAAAAGACGCCAGGCGACGTCACCCGACCATGTTCGTGTCCAATTTACTTGGAGGTGGCGGATTGTTATTCGTAGAGGAACAGCGCTGCATTCTTTCCTCTGCTCTTCACCAGATCGAAATCGGAAATATGAAAATACTTAGCGCGATCAATAAGGGAGCAGTGTGGCTCTTCGCAACGCTATTACTAGGGCTTTTAAGTCGCCTCGGCTAGTCCCATACAACCCGGCTACAAATGAAACTCTGGCCATTGTTGTAAGAACTCGAAAAGAGTCGAAAATAACCTCCGTGCCTCAAATCCTGGCCCATCAGATCTCATTTGCTTCTCGACATAAGACAGCAGCTCACCCCAGCGAGCCCATTCCCATGCAGAGCACCTCTCGGGCTCGAAGGTCTAAGCCTAGAAATGGGGAATTAGTACTTTCCAAAATACACTTTAAAAAGTATATAGGAATCTATCTAGAATCTAAGGGGCTACTACTAGCTTATTTAGTAGTATTACTAGTAGATGAAAAAGACTATCGTGTAAGAGAAGGTAAGGAAGCGCTATAATCTAAAGGATCGCTAACTAGGAAGGATAAGTCTATCCCCTCTAAAACAGAATGGGATAAGGGACTAAGTATCTAGATTAGAGTAGGATTCTCTAATATAGTAATAAGAATCTAAGTATCGTACTTATCGGCGAGACGATCTAGTTTAGCGAGGTCATTAGTACTGGGGGAATCCTTAGTATCTAACTACTCTATAATAAGAGGGTTATAATTTAAAATCTTACTACTCCGATTTTTAAACATTTAACGTTACTTCTTAAGATAAAATATTTTAGCTATTAACTTTATTTACTATTTTTCGATCTTTTTAATCTCCGAATTAATTTTAGCCGACTTATAAAGTACGCGGTACTATTATTTATCGCTATAGAACTAATATATATACCGACGACTACGATAGGTATACTTAGTTGCTACGGATAACTTTGTGCACTACTATATATATTGATCCTGGGCATATCAGAGCGAGGGCTCTGATATAATGGTCTTTTGGCTGAGCGGAAGAATGTGCGCCCAGGCATATCCTTCACATTAGTATAGTTATAACTCTTTAGATCTATTATATAGTGGATATAATAAGAAGAATAGAATTTATAGGGGATATTAGCGATCGAACCGTTTTATAATATTTTATTATATTAAATAAGTCTATTTCTTTTATAATTATTATTATTATTAACTAGTATGATATAATAGATATATAGCTAAAGAAATAGAAGAAAAAATAAAAAGAAAAAATAATTAATATTACTTATTTACGGGGGGACTATAGCTTTATAGCTTTAAGGGCGAAACCCTAAAGGGGGGAGATAATATTATAGACCTACCTATTACTAATCGATAGTACCCTACTAGGTATATAAATAAGCTATTAAGCGCTAAACGGTTAGCCTATTAATAGATTACATATAATATCTAATATCTAGATAACCCTGAGATCTTAAAGGAAAGGGAAACTATAATTATACTTAGTAAGAGTATGATCCTGTTACGCACTAGCTAACTGGTCATAGTTAGGTTAGATGGGTTCAGGGTATACTTGCCTTAATACTCCTCGAATGGTCCAACGTCAATGATCGGGTCTCAACTAAGCTAATACCGCGTAGGGCCTTATAGTAGCCTAAGTCCTTTTGAGCGATTAAGGAACTAATGCCAGGTAGAGCGCCGAGTAGATCTATACCGGAGTATTAGTCTACTCGTGAGTATTGTTAAGTTATAATCAAGTAAAGAGTCATAGTAATCCAAAAGGTAAATATAAGTAACAATATATAATTAAAGACGAAGAACTAAACTAAGTATATAAGGGAGTATCCTTATATATCCTTCGTTTCCTACTCCCTAATATACTCCTAGAGTATATTCGGGAGTCACCGTATACTTCTACGTATACTCCTAGAGTCGACGTAGGAGTCACGGTCACGTAGTCTAGGCGGTTACGGGCGCTCGGTATTATTATAAGGTAGAATTGCTATTTACCCTATAAGGGCCGGTAATAGCTACCTTCTAGTAAAACCCTTTTCTACCCGATATATCGTACGTAATCTCGATCTATTAGCTCTCGATAGCCTATTAGTATACCTATAGGTTATTACTAATTAGTAACGGATAGGTCCGTAATATTACCTCCCCTCTTCCTAGGAGTTTCGTCCCTAAGACTTATAAAGCTACGGTTCCCCCCTCTAGTAAGTAATATCGTTTATTTTCTTTTTTATTTTCTTTTCTTTAGCTATATACCCGTCGTATTATACTAGTTAATAACAAAACCTATAAAAAGAATAGACTTACTTAATATAATAAAATATTATAAAATAGTTCGGTTGCTAATATCTCTTACGAATTCTATTCCTCTCGCTTTATTAATTATATAATAGACCCGAAAAGTCGTAACTATACCGAGTATACTCGTTATAGTCGTTATTACGTATAATAGTTTTATAGCGATAAGGAATAGTAGCGCGTTCTTTATAAGTCTACGAAAATCGATATAGAGATTAAAGAGATCGAGAAGTAGTAAATAAAGTTAATAGCAAAAATACTTCGTCTTAAGAAGTAACGTCAAATATTTAAAAATCGGAGTAGTAAGATATTAAATTATAACTCCTTTATAATAGAGTAGTTAGATACTAAGGATCCTCCTAGTACTAAGGATCTCGCTAAGCTAGATCGTCTCGCCGATAAGTACGATACTTAGGTCCTTACCGCTACGTTAGAGAATCCTACTCTAACTTAGATATTTAGTCCCTTATCCCCTTCCGTCCTAGAGGGGATAGACTTATCTTTCCTTATTAGCGATTCTTCCGTACCTTCCGCTATATAGGAGTCCTTTTCGCCTATTAGTAATACTATTAAACGAGCTAGTAGTAGCCCCTTAGGTTCTAGATAGGTTCCTATATATTTTCTAAGATAGGATACCCTTTCTACTAAACTAAGAGTTATTATTAACTATTATACTATCTATCCGATAGGATTCGTTCGACTTTATATTTATCTTCGGTTTTCTCGATTTCTATATTAGTTATAATTTCGGCGTTATCTAGTACTAGTTCGAGTAATAAGATATAAAATACTATATAGAGTTTTTATATACTTTCGGGTAGCTTTAAGCGATA